AAGAGGAGGGCTCGGGCCCAGCAGACCGCTGGGTGACAAGAGTGAGTCAAGTTAGGAGGAAAGGCGACAGAGGCACGGACAGAGCGATGGAGCTGGCGTCTCCGTCCCCTCACCCGCGGGCAGCAGCGCTGCCCTCAACTACGGCAGGGGCCCGGGCGCCCCGTCCCACCTGCCTCGCTCCACCCAGGCTCCAGCGCCTGCTCCTCCTCAGTCCAATTTCTCCAGCACCGAGGGCACGTAGACCAGGCTGAGCTCGCTCCCAAAGTTGCAGACGATGGCGGCGTTCTCCAGCACGAGGATCTGCCGCGCAGGCTGCGACTCATTGCTCTTCCCCAGGTAGACAGTCTGGAGCAGGTCGCCGTAGCCGATGTCCCAGAAGGAGACGCAGCCCTGGCCTCCCGTCACCAGCAGGTTGTCGGAGATCACGCCCAGGCTGGCACCGCAGCCCATCTCCTGCGTGGAATGAGAGCACATCAGAGAGCCGAGCCCGCAGCAGGCGTCCTGGCAGGAACTCCTCCGCGAGGGAGGGCAGCAGCCTGCCCACGCCGCTTCTGCGGCCAGCCCTTGCCGTGGCTGGGAAGAGGCCGTTTAGCCGCAGCCCCTCTGCCAGCCCGGCCCTGCGGGTGCACACGTGCTGGCATGGGGCCACAGAGCCTCGCAGCCGGGACAGCGCGGTCTGGCCAAGCAACAGATTTGGTCTTTTTCTGAGCTCTTGCACGTTATGTTTACAAGCAGGGAAGTTTTCCAAAGCACGTGGAGTTTAAACAGCGACCCCTTCACACTACAAGCCCAGCAGAGGTGGTCTGCGGGGTTTGGCGGGGTCCAGAAAAGCACAGAAGCAGCCTTAAGCTTTCCCTGGCTGCTCCCCAGCTACCAACCTGCTGGATAGAATAGAGCTTGATCCCCGAGCTGCGGTCCCAGATGCTGATCACGTCGTCCAAGCCGCTGCTGATGACGCAGGACGTTGTGCAGGTGAGGGACGTGACGTCCCCTCGGTGGGCGTACATGTGGCTGACCTTGCTCCCCGTCAGCACGTCCCAAAGGCAGATGGCACCGTCCTGGCCTCCGCTCGCTAGCACCATCGTCTGCAAGGACACGGGCAGAACCAGGTCAGGAACCTCAGCAGACGGCGGACGGTGCCCTTTCCACCACAGCCGGGGGCTTTGCGGTGCCACGGACACGGGAAGCTGCTGAACACACAGGCCAGTTCCACATACAAGGACTTCCAGTGCTCCGGGCACGCTCCCAGGCTGTAGGAGGTCACAGGAATGTGGGATGGAAAGCTGAACTGCCGGCTCGGTGTCTTCCCTGCCTTTGCACGTGCGTTCGAGCAGGCTGGAGGTAACAAAACCCCAAGCCCACCAGGACTCCCCGGTGCAGAGAACCCCAAATTCATTCAAACAGAGCTGTAAAGCGCACAGGTGTGGCTCTCCTTCTTTCCAAGGGGAGCTGGTACGCAAAGCCTCCCTGGGGGCTCGCTGCAGAGCAGGGCACGCTCTGCTAGGCCCTGTCGTTAGCCTCTGGCAGTGCAGGCTGCGCATCAGCTCAGCTAAGCCTACGCTGCCTCTCTCGGGAGACAGCCGGTCCCCAGGAGGGCAGACATTCACGGGGCAGGGAGCGTTTCCTGGGCCACTTTCAGCCCCGTGCTCCCGTCTCTGCCTTCAGAGGCTCCCTGGCTTCAGAGCTGCGTTCAGAACAGCTGACCCGGCAGCAGGGGTACAGCGGGAATGGGGCTTTCCTGCTCCAAACAGGGCAGGGAGAGAAACCACCTCCAGGGAAAGGGATTGCTGAGCTCGCGGTTAGCTGGATGGGAAAATAATGGTTCAGCTTGTACGGCACATGGGTGAGCACACCGTTGCAGCAGCCAGCGAGCCCTCTGCATCCTCGGAGAAGCACATGTCAGCTTCTCCATGTGCAAACCAGAAGAGAGTCCCGGCTGGCCCCCCCCAGCTGAACCAGTGGCTCAGCAGCCCTATGTAAAGGATGTTCTTCCTGGTGCAGACCCAGCTGCGCCTTACCTGATCGATGTACACAGCTGTGATCGCTCCCGAGTGACCCTGCAGCGTGAACAAACAGCACGAGTCTTCTAGCCGAAAGACCTGCAGGGCAGAAGAGGCAGATGTGAGTGTCCACGGGGCAGCCGTGCTGCAGAACGACACCACCTGAGCCTTATCACTCTTGCTAACGAAGCAACAGCTCTCACTTTATCTTCCGTACCGCCATCCCCCTCTCGCGGCAGAGTCAGAGCCTGTCAGCGATTCAGGACAGCGAGGTCACTGGATGCTGCTGCCAAGGGCAGGGGAAGAGGGTAACGCCTGTCGGGCAGTGACAGGGCAGGGAAGCGACGTGCATGGCTGAAGGGGACGGCTGCTGCTGGAAGGGACGAGGAGAAGACAGGAGATACCCCAGAACCCAGACCCTGCTATTCATGAAGTCACCCAGCCCTAAGGCAAGAGGATCTCACGCTCTGCTTAGGAAGATAGCTCACACAGGGCTCTGTCCTTCTAACTCCACCGACGGGCCACATCCAGGCGGAGGAATATAACATAGGGGAGCTTCAGGAACGCACTGGATCGGACTCCAACCACGCCACCCCAAACACTTGCCTACCTTTGTGCATGTACACACATCAGCTTTGCCCCCCGTCCACGTACGAGACCAGCTCACGTCCCACAATGTCCGCAGGACGGATAAGCACCCACCCCACCCCACCAGTTACAGGGCAGCAGCAGCCCCGGACTCAGCCGAGGAAGCCTTACTCTCAGAGTGTGGTCCTGGCTCCCGGTGACCAGCCGTCCAGCCGCAGCCTTCAGCGCCGTGATCGGCTTCTGGTGGGCGCAGGACACGGTGTGGGTGAGCTGACACATGATGATGTCGCTGCTGCTGAACACGGGGGAGGACGGGATGCTGCTTCTGCTCGGTGCTCCTGTGGCGAGACACGCAGCTAAGTCCTCGGTGCAGCAAACAGCCTTACACTCCAGGACTAATATCACCCAGAAATGGTGTGGTACCAGGGATGCCTGGATGCTGAACTTCAAGGAATTTGAACCTGGTCCTCCAAAGAGCCGAACACTCGGCACTCTGGCTGACACCAATGGAAGCTACGGCTGCTCGGCGCTCATGAACAACCGGAGTGAGGGTCTCCAACAGGGTCCTCAGCAGCAGAACTCCCTTCTGCAGATCAGTGGCCCCTACGCAGTAAGTCTTCTGCAAGACTGAGATCCCTGAAGCCCGAGCGCGCTGCGGTTACCCTTGTCAGAGGCCGAACAGAGAGCTGGGCACAAGACTCTCTGCACCCTATGGGGAAAAGTCATTTCCACAGCTGGTCCTTTCCTGCAGGGCCTGCTCCAATTCCAGATCTACAGCTTGCAGATCCCAGGGCATCCGCCTAGGAATGCAACCATCCTCCTGGAGTAAGGCCAGGGCTTCTCTACCCTCCAGGCCACTCCAGAACCAAAGGAGCCACTTCACTGCAAACCAGTTACCACCATGGACTAGTTTTGCGCGTGTTGTGGTTGTGCCGAGGCCCCAGGCTACATCGTGGTTGTGTGGGGCTACGTGGTGTGCAAACAAGTGAGAAAAGACGTTGCTGAAGGAGAAAATAAGTGAGAAGTGGGAAAGGAAAGAGGT